CACTATCCTCCCGGTGTCTGCGCGCATTGTTCTCTCATTCCCATCCAGAGAGAGCAGCTGAACACACCGAGAGGACCAGCCGGTGCGGGGAACAGACAGAGAGTACCGGACCCTCCGTCGCAGAAACTCCCGGGAGCCACATGCAAAGCTCAGTCTGCAGTGCACACAGGATACGCGGCACTCCGTAGTTACATAACTGGACTACTTTTTTTTCTATAATTGTTGTGGGTTTTTCACGCTTTTTGTGTTGCACCATCCCCAGCTAAAATGGAGAACGACGAGAAATATCTCCCCGAGCTGCTGGCGGAGAAGGACAGCCTGGACTCGTCTTTTACGCACGCTATGAAACTTTTAAACGCAGGTAAAGTCCTGACATGTGCTGCTAGTTTTTGATTTATTTTTTCTAGTATGGGGGGTTTATGCTTGTTTTCCACCACTCACCCAAATAGAAGCACACCTGCACGCTGACACTGCCATGTGTTTGCGCACTGGACGTGGGTTTAACCGGAACAGTGTAATGAATACGCGCGTGGTGCATGTAGGAGTTAATTGCATGATAGCTAATGACTGGTGTCTGACAGTGTAAACAGCCCAAACCACAACACCACAGAGTCACATTTCCGCTTCCTTTTGTGCACCTGCGTCGCTCTGTATTGGTACTTGTGAGCCTAAACTTAACGCTTGTTGTTGTCGAGGCTCTGTTGGTTGCATTATCTGGCAGGTGTGTTGCGCAGCAGCTGATACATGTGCACCAGATACCCTGACAGGGGGTCACCTCGCTGCTTTGAATCCGGGAGGCGGCGGTGGTGGCCCGGTACCGGAGACAGAGACCTTCAGGTGCCGCTGCTGAAGTGTCCTTGAGCAGGAGTCTGCAGCCCTGGCAGCTCTGGAGAGGGATGCCCCCTATTAATATGTTCTGCATACATTTTTAAAAGGACAGCACCGTGCAGAATGTGACTCCGTAAGTGCATTAACGTACGTCACATACGGTATGACTGCACGATATATCCGAAATGTATCGAAATCGCGATATCGACAAAAGGCGCTAAAAAATTGGGCTAAAAATGTGTTAAAACTGAATTTTTATCGAATCATATTTAAAAAATTGAACAAAACCTGTTTGTTTGGTAATCAATCCCTCCAATATTGAGACATATCGCAATATCAGTCAAAAGAATCGCAATTAGTAATTTCTCCAGAGTACCACAAATCTCTTAAATAAGAAATGCACATAAGGTCATTATTTGCTATTGAGTGCTATAGATAAAAAGGGATTGCTTATTATGGGGTCTTTGTGTGTGCTCTCCTAGAGATTGGGTGATATTTTTTCCTGCAAACTGGTTCCTATACGCTGCTCCAGTCATGTGTCCGAGCCCCCTCTCTGGCAGTGGTTAAGGTCTCTTTGTCTAACAGGAGCACAATGCTGCATCTCTGAAAGTGAAAGTGAGAGCGATGTAGGAAGAAGTGTTTCTGCTGTGGGTTCCCACACTGTGACATCTTCTGAGGCTGTGCACATCTATGCAGCTGGTGCTCTGAGATGGAGCTGACATGTTTGAACATCGCCGCTCAGGAGATGTCACGGCCAGGAGTGAGGAGGAGGGTGAGATGAAGAGCTGTGAGGGTGCTGGGCGCCACAGGGAAGAGATGGTGGTGTTGGCTGCTTATTACAGAGTTCAGAATTGGTGCTATAATTTGATTTGTTGATTGCACTGGCGAGTCTTTTCTTGTCTATTCTTGTTGTACAAGTAATGGGAAATGGTGACGATTATAGGGTTGCACAATAGGAGGAAAAGATGCGATTATTTGGGTTCAATATCACAATAATAACATGTTTGGAAGATATATAACCAATCGATGCGGTTTAGTTCTGCCTTTTCTGCTGCTTGTTGACCCAACTTGCTTGTTGTATTATTTAAAACAAAGAAGCACATTATTTCCCTACATCCTATTGTGGAAAAATACATTGAATTAAACACACAAGGCAAGAATGTAACATTTCAAAAGGCTGTATTCTAGCGCTACTCGTTTTTAACTAACTCAAATGTGCAATATCAGTCTTTCTGGAACAGTTCGATGTGCAGACATCACACCATTATCGATATTTTTGAAGACCTAATCACAAGTTAACAGATCCAAAGGTGTGTTATGTTTCAGATCAGCAGCAAAACACCCAAAGATATTATTATGTTAGCCGCAGAGACTGTTTGGAGTTTTGCTTGACGAAGAGCTGAAATTATTGATTGCCAGATTATCGACTAATGACCTGTTTCATCTCTATTTAGGGAGTTCAGAAAAACCTGCTGAATGAAAAACAAACAAACTTGTGTTTTATTGAAAGCACCAGGCTTTCTTTAAACTCTGACTGTCGGTCAAAATCTGTCCAGCTGTCTCTGTTAAAACCAGGCTTTTTTTGGATGTTAACGATACTGAAAAAACATCTATTAAAAGTAACTTGTGTGTCTTCAAATAGCTGCTTTTTTTGTTGCAAAATCTGGCCAAGTTAGAGCCTAGACACTAAGATTGTTTCACCTGCACATCTCTCAGTCAATACTTACTGAAAGTGCTGATCAATCCTCCTTGTACTTTGATCCTGTTCTATTGCATGAACACTTTGTCTGAAACGATGCCTCTCCCATCCTTTCTAGAAATTGATAGACTCCAGAAAGACGAGACTAAAAAGGAGGCGGACGACTACATGGACCTTTTCACAACAAAGAACATCAAACTTAAGGAACGAGTGCTCATACCTGTCAAACAGTACCCGAAGGTGAGCCTGTCTTTCTTCTTCTTCGTCTCTCCTCCTCTTCTTCTTCGTCTCCTTTCACCGTGAACCTTTTTATTTAATTTATCCTGCAGCCAGGTTTCAATTACACAAAGCCACGGGGTTACTGTGGAGTCTCAAATGACTCCTCCTAACCTTGATCTCTAAACTGCAGAGAAGAATTATCGCAGATTCTGGCGTGTTTTAAAATATCCTCAAAAGGATCAAAATGTTATTATCACTATGGATAGGAGAGCGATTGTATTGCCTACCGTGTGCAGGAGATTGGATCCTGTGAAGATGTTTTAATTCAATGTGAAATCTTACTTGACTTCACCCTCAGGTGTATTGATTCATATATCATTTGATCTATATCTGGCTCTCACTTCTGACTACATTGATTTTTGCACGATGGTTTATGTTGTTGGAGAAGTACAACTGCAACTGACCATTATTTTCAATGTATTTATTAATCTGCTGATTGTTTTCTCAATTGATTATTGGTCAATACATGTCATAAATCAAGAGGGATGTCTTAAGGCATTTCAAAATATTCAGTTTAATGTAATACAAAGCAGAGAAACATTTGTTCACATTTGAGAGGCTAATAACCGAATTCTCCGCATGAAAAACGACTTTAATGATGAACTAATTATCAAAATAGTTGGCTATTAATTTTCTGTAGATTAATTTGTTGGCTAATCGTTGCAACTTTCCTGTAAAACGCACAGATTGCTAGTTGCATGATGCTTCTTCTGCATGTTGTAGAATGTATTTGCATGATTGTAAGTGACCTATGTTGATATTGTGGCTGTCTAAATCCTGTCGTATACTTTTGACTATTCAGCGTACTTTTTTAAGTACAAAAGTTGACATTTCTACCGGATGCAAAGCAGAATAGGAGGCATAGACGCTGCTTGGTCTCCAGCCTCAGATCAATACGCTGTAGGTGTCTGGTCTGTGCAGTAAGACAGCCTTCTGATCTCCTGAAGCCCGGCTTAGTTTGACGAGCTTAGTTTGAGTCGGAACATCAGTCCAGTGTCAGGAGAGACAAAGCTCATGAGTGGTTTCAGATTACTTTCACAACTCCAGGAGGAATTGCTTCCTTAAAGGCAACTCTTTAGCTAATTGTGGCTCACATATGCACACTGTAATGAGTTTCTTTAAAGATTAAACACGCACAAACATGCAGGGTTTTAGTTATTGAATGAATGTAGTGAATAGAGAGGGACAGTGCTGCAGCCTTCAGGGATCTTATTGATCTTCTCCGGTAAATCCACTACTTAAAGCTGCAGCAGGAGCAACACGCCGCCCTGACACCGTGCTCCTTCGCTCCGGGTGTTAAACTCACCGCTGCTTTGACTGTCAGGCTAATTTCTCCCTGCTTTGTTTTGCCATTAGTTCAATTTCGTGGGGAAGATTCTGGGACCTCAGGGCAACACGATCAAACGTCTGCAAGAAGAGACCGGGGCCAAGATCTCGGTGCTGGGCAAAGGATCCATGAGAGACAAATCCAAGGTAGTGCACTTTCTTAAACACACACACACATCTGGTGCTACACACTTGTACCTGGAGCCAAAACACATCTGGCCTGTAGTTCACAGCGATGTCAGGCAGATGGTGTGAACTGGCCAAGGGCATTCACACTCTGCACATCTGGAGTCTTCAGGAACTCCCGTTAAAACAGTTTTCCTCCACTTTGATGCAATTATTAATCCACACAAAGGAAGGGAACACCACACCTGTGCTTGATGCCCTCTGATGCCGATGAAATGTGACTACTCCTTGCATAATTCATTTGACTTAGCTGCTCTGCCTCTCTGACTCTGATGTGATGTTGTCTGGTTTCAGGAGGAGGGGCTGAGGAAAGCCGGCGAGCCCAAATACTCCCACCTGTCCTTGGAGCTGCACGTGTTCATCGAGGTGTTCGCCCCCGTGCCCGAGGCCTACCTGCGCATGGCCCACGCCATGGAGGAGGTCAAGAAGTTCCTGTTTCCTGTGAGTCCCTCTCTGCTGTTGTGCTGTGTTTCTGTTGACGTTTTGGTAGCTGCTGCATCGAACACATATTCCTTACAATTCATTAAACCCCATTTAATTCATCACGTAGACTGTAAAATGTCAACAATATTGACTCACACCCATCACAAGTTAATAAATGCTAATGTGCTGAAATTAGTCCGACAAAGCTTTAATATTCTAAAGATATAAATCAAAGCTTATCTTTGCCTTTGAAAACTGTACCGGCAAAAATTGCTAAAGATGTGATTAATTCAATGCCAAATGATTAGTGGGTTTTCCATTTAGCCCTACGATGAAACACTTATTATAAATGTAATCTGCAGTGCCAATAGATTCATGATGAATTATTTGGTTTATCAAATATTAAATATTAATTATAAATGGGAAAAGAATGCCTGAAAAATTGCAATTTAACGCCTATTGTGCTTTTGGGGGTTTTCCCTCTCTTGTAGTGTGTTATTGGACTCCTTTGTTTACTTCTGGAACAGAGTGACATCACTATGTAACACTTGTGCTTCTATTGGCTATCCCTCCAACACATTGTACATGATAGGCTAAGGGGCTGGACATCTCTAAGTGGTTGACCAATCACAACAGAGCCGGCCAGCTAACCAATCAGAGCAGACTGGGCTCTGGTTTCAGACAGAGGGTGAAAAGAGGTGCAGCAGCACAGGCAGTATGAGAAGAATAAAGAGCTTTTTGAACATTAAAGCCTGGAGACATGAAGAGACACTACATACTGATATACACCTGAACATCAGCAGGAGAGGACTCTTTAAAGTAGAGACACTACATACTGATATACACCTGAACATCAGCAGGAGAGGACTCTTTAAAGTAGAGACACTACATACTGATATACACCTGAACATCAGCAGGAGAGGACTCTTTAAAGTAGAGACACTACATACTGATATACACCTGAACATCAGCAGGAGAGGACTCTTTAAAGTAGAGACACTACATACTGATATACACCTGAACATCAGCAGGAGAGGACTCTTTAAAGTAGAGACACTACATACTGATATACACCTGAACATCAGCAGGAGAGGACTCTTTAAAGTAGAGACACTACATACTGATATACACCTGAACATCAGCAGGAGAGGACTCTTTAAAGTAGAGACACTACATACTGATATACACCTGAACATCAGCAGGAGAGGACTCTTTAAAGTAGAGACACTACATACTGATATACACCTGAACATCAGCAGGAGAGGACTCTTTAAAGTAGAGACACTACATACTGATATACACCTGAACATCAGCAGGAGAGGACTCTTTAAAGTAGAGACACTACATACTGATATACACCTGAACATCAGCAGGAGAGGACTCTTTAAAGTAGAGACACTACATACTGATATACACCTGAACATCAGCAGGAGAGGACTCTTTAAAGTAGAGACACTACATACTGATATACACCTGAACATCAGCAGGAGAGGACTCTTTAAAGTAGAGACACTACCTACTGATATACACCTGAACATCCGCAGGAGAGGACTCTTTAAAGTAGAGACACTACATACTGATATGAACCTGAAAGTTAGCACAATAGGACTCTTTAAGCCACATTTGATTTGTGTTAGATAGCTTGTTTGTGTTAACAACACTGTACATCTAATAGAAGATCAGCTCAACAGGAGTCATCTTGTTGGCAGCGTTCCTCCTGTCTGTCCATCACTGAGTCTCATTCCTCAGGGAGCGAGGAGACTCAGCGTGGGGATGTAAGTTTCCCAGACAGATCCGTGGTGTATTTCACCCGGCGCGGCCTACGCTTATTTTATCCGTTTTGTGCTGAGAGATTCTTGATCACGGGCCAACAAAGCCTGGCTGAAGCCCACAGTGCTCTGTCGATGGCTCCAGCCAAAGCAGGACAAGTTCTTTTTTAATTAGAGGGTGCTATAGGAAGAATAGGCAGTAAAAAGCCGTCCCCTGCAGAACCTGTCGTGACAACTTAAAGCCATAATCTGTCAGGTTTGACGTCCTTCATTTGAAACCAGGCCATATTTGAATAAATGACTCAGAAAACTGGGTGGATTTGATCTGCCTATGTTATGTTTTATGTATTACCTGCCCCCTCAGGTATTCCATAAGACTCTTCTATTCTTCATCTGTATACCTGTATGTCTGCCAATGTAAATGCACAAGCAGAGCCTTGATGCTGTATGAAGCACATTGACAGTTATTTTTTATCTTTTCTACTTAATGCAATATATGAAGAAACTAGATTCCTCTGAACACCTTGATGAGTAAAGTGTCACCTTGCAGTCTCACTGATGAATATCTGAGTCGCTGCTGTTTGCTTAGGCTGCAGATAAATGTAAAGTCCGCGCTTCATATTCTAGTTTTTCACAATCTTCTTTTTCCCTGTCATTAGAGCTCTGATTTCTGGGAAATAATAAATTAAATTACGGTGCGATCGCTCTCCGAAGAAGTGTTGGATCGTGTTACTGGATTTCTGTCGCTCAGACGGACCGCTTCGTTAATTCCCCCCCAGTTATTGTTTTTTTTGCAGATGATAATAAGTTGATGCAATCTCACCAGGCTCGTCAAGAAGGGCAGGGAGAACAGATTTACATTTTGTGCATGACGGAGTGGCTCAGGAGTGTGGATGGATGCTTTCCAAACTCCCACATCCACTAAAACCCCCCTGCCGCCCCCCTTCTCTTTAACACTGAGTCACTGAGACTTTCTCCTCCACTCGCTCTGTTAGCCATTAGGGGGGGGGGGGTGTGTGTGTGTGTGGGGGGGGGGGGGGTCGTGTTGTGAGCAGCTCTGTAATTGTGTTTTGCTCTTTTATTCATCGCTCGTTCTTCCACACTGCCTCACATTCTTGCTTTTTCATTCCACTTCTCCCATGTCATGTGGCCCTAGTTTCTAACCCTCTCTGTGTGTGTGTGTGTGTGTGTGTGTGTGTGTGTGTGTGTGTGTGTGTGTGTGTGTGTGTGTGTGTGTGTGTGTGTGTGTGTGTGTGTGTGTGTGTGTGTGTGTGTGTGTGTGTGTGTGTGTGTGTGTGTGTGTGTGTGTGTGTGTGTGTGTGTGTGTGTGTGTGTGTGTGTGTAGGATATGATGGATGATATCTGCCAAGAGCAGTTCCTGGAGATGGGCTACCTGAACGGAGGCCAGGATCACGGGGCCAGAGGCAGAGGGGGCCCTCCGGTCAGGGGCCGTGGACTCCCCCCTGGTGGAGCACACAGGTGAGGAAACACACACACACACACACACACACACACACACACACACACATACACACATACACAGACGCCGGTTTTCTCATATACCATCTGCTAGGTCACTGGAGAGATACAAAGAGTGTCTGTGTTTGAATGATAATGCTGAGTGAGGCTGAAGGCTTCTCTGTATTCAACCTTTTGTGTTATTGTCTGTTTCCAAGGTAAGCATTAAATACTTTTGAATCACTGAGACAGTACTGGTAGCTGAAGGAACATCGAGTAATCTAAATCAATTGCCTGTCACACAAAAGAATGGAAAATGCCACCTAAACAGTCGATTTATGTGTTTCCTTATCATAACATTACATTACATGTCACACGTTAGAGGGGTCGGCAACCTTTTTGATATGAAGTGCCATTAAAAAAAAAATAATTTATCAGCGTGCCGACGATCGTGAATTATCAACGGGGGGGGGGGGAGCCTCGCTGCGGGGAAGCAGTGTGTGGACCTGTCAGCGCAACTTACATGATGCCGAATTTAACAAACAAATTTAAATAATTTTAAGTTAAAGGTGGGGTATGTAATTTTGGAGAAACCAGCTCGAGTGCGCTAGAATTTGAAACAACGCAGCCGAAAAAAATCTGCCCCTTCCTTCAGACTTCCTCACAGAGCCCCTCCTCCAACACACACGAACGCGCACATGACCAATGAGGGCACGAGATAAGTTTGTGCACAGATGGAAGGCTGACAGGCAGGTAGGCCATCCAGTTATTTTAGCGGGCCGGCTCAGATGATTGGTCGTGCTTTTTACAGTACTACAGCTTCCACAGATGATATTTCTTTATGTATTTATTGTCAAAGCACTTCAGATATTCATTGCTATCAGGATGTTCAGAGCATTCCATGGAATATAACAAAAAGTGTTTCTGAAGTGAATTACCTACCACACCTTTAAGATCGGTATGTTTGTTAGCTTGAGCACTAAATGGCACTAAATCCCAAACACTGCTCCTTTAGCATGTCAGGTCTACATATTCCCTAAATCCTGAAGTAAGTAGAGGAACATAATTGACCTCAGTGTTCTGCTCCCCAGGGGTCGGGGGATGCCTCCTCGTGGAGCTCCTGCCAGGGGAGGAGTACCTCGAGGCGGCCCACCCAGAGGTGGAGCAGTGAGGGGGGTCCCATCGGGGCGAGGAGGACCCCCAGCAGCACCCTCCAGAGGAGCATCAGCACCCCGAGCCAGACCCCCAGCTGCAGGACCCCCCCACAGGATGGCACACCCACCCCCCCACCAGCACACCCCCACTGCAGCCTCTGAGGGCTACGAGGAATATGTAAGTAACTTTGTTTATTGGGTTTTTTCAACAGCATACAGTTATTCTATCAGAGCATCACAAGTAGGTAAACAAATCTTCACTTTATAGAAAATAGGTAGAGTAACCCCTAGATTCCACCGGGTCCGTCTGCGCCGCGTTGCGGTTTTGGTCCGGCCTCCTCCGGCGTCATACCCTACCAGGCGCGTTTCAGAAGCATTTCAGAAGCGGAGCGTCTTGCCTGCCGGCTCGCAGTTTTTGTTGATTTGGGCATATTTCCTGGACAGGCTACTTTGTACAGACAAAGTTAATAATAACTGTAATATTCCAGTTATAAACGACATGAATCAAAGATGTGTTGCTGTATTTTAGTGGTAAAAAAAATGCATTCATCATCATAATTACTCTATATATATAATTTACACAGTGCCTGTAAACCGGAGGAGAACGCTGGCATTTCTCCTCCTACTTGAAAGACTACGGAGGGATAGGGTCTGCACAATGAGTTTGTGTGTGTATATATATATATGCTATATATGCTCTGAACGTTCCACTTCCTGCCTGCCCGACCTTACGTTACGGCTGCGCCGCGACAAAAATAGGATTCAATCCTAATTTTAGAGGAGCCCTGCGCCGAGCCGCTTCTGAGCCGTAACGCGCCGCGTGTGGTGGAATAGCACCCATTGACTAGAGTGGCCGCGATCGCCGTGAGCACCGCGGCGCAGCCGTAACGCGCCCGTAACGCTCCCGTAACGCGCCCGTAACGCGCCGCAGACGGACCCGGTGGAATCTAGGGGTAACAATGTAAATACTGCTTAACAAGGTGGCTTGATGTATATGTTTTGGATATATGTTAATGTCCTTAGCATGATTATAAGATTTTTTATTATGGCCTGGTGATTTGTAAAAGAAATACTAATTGCAATTAGTTTGACAGATATTGAGAAATGATTTTTGGAAGTAATTGATTTGTTTTGAATCATATATCTCATTATAATTGAAGAATACATTAAAATGATCATGGTGTGATTCCTTTTTTAAGAGGACCTTTACAAAACAAAGATATTTTATTAAGTCCAAACACCACAAAACTTATTTCAGAATAAGATTTACACATATGTTGCCTGTAACAAACAGTGCCTTGAGATTTGAATGTTGATTCAAACTTGATTAATTGTGCTAAAAGTTAAGATATCTGTTAACTTGAAGAAATAAAAGGACGTATGAGGGATAGGCAGTGCAACAGGCAGAAGGAGAGCTTCCTGTAGAGAAATGTGTAATCCTCTCCATCACGGTCTCCTCTGAATAAGATTGTTCTTGGCTCTGAATTGCTCGTCCGTCAAAACAGAAATAAGTGATTTGGGATGCTGGAGACATGAGGGGGGGCTTGTCTGTGTTAGTGTAGTTCTTTGGGGGCATCTTGACATTCATGATTCATGAAGAAGCCTCTCCCTAAACCTCTTGTTTCCTCTCCAGGGCTACGATGAGAGCTACACAGACACGGCCTACGAGTCCTACGACAGCTACTACAGTCAGCCGCAGGCGTGAGTGAATCATTGTCTCTTTGCTCCTCGCCTGCTCCTCGCCTGCTCCTCACCTGCTCCTCACCTGCTCCTCACCTGCTCCTCACCGAGCGCACACACACATCACCTGCTCCTCACCTGCTCCTCACCTGCTCCTCACCTGCTCCTCACCGAGCGCACACACACATCACCTGCTCCTCACCGAGCGCACACACACATCACCTGCTCCTCACCGAGCGCACACACACATCGCCTGCTCCTCACCGAGCGCACACACACATCACCTGCTCCTCACCGAGCGCACACACACATCACCTGCTCCTCACCGAGCGCACACACACATCGCCTGCTCCTCACCGAGCGCACACACACATCGCCTGCTCCTCACCGAGCGCACACACACATCGCCTGCTCCTCACCGAGCGCACACACACATCGCCTGCTCCTCACCGAGCGCACACACACATCACCTGCTCCTCACCGAGCGCACACACACATCGCCTGCTCCTCACCGAGCGCACACACACATCGCCTGCTCCTCACCGAGTGCACACACACATCACCTGCTCCTCACCGAGCGCACACACACATCGCCTGCTCCTCACCGAGTGCACACACACATCACCTGCTCCTCACCGAGCGCACACACACATCGCCTGCTCCTCACACACACAGGAACACTTTATTAGCCACTCGGCACAAATTCAGCGCTGCTTCTTGTTTCATGGTTTCGGATAGCGGGTTATTTAGGAGAAGCTGCTCCATGCTACAGAGCAGAGCTTTGATGTTATTCATGGAAGCCAATTATCATCCCCCTAGACATTTCACTCAGCAGATACTTCATGTTTTTCAAGATTAAAAGTGATTTTTTTCCTCTCATCTCTGCCTGTTTTTGACCATCAGAGAGCCAGAGTACTATGACTACGGACACGGAGAGAGCACAGAGTCGTACGAGTCGTATGGTGAGGACAAACCTTATTCTCTGTCAACAAAGATGACCCAATTTATACTGTGAATATAAAAATGTGCATACAAATATGAACAAAAACATTTTTAACTAGATATTTTATTACTATTTAATTCGTACTTTCACATACTGTAGTATTTGATTGATTTTCATATTTCCTTGATTTAATCCCCACCTTATCTGACATATTTCAGCAGGACTTAACATTTGATTTATACATAATAATCCAAAATGATGTCAGATTTCAAAGTAAGAGCCTGGTATCATCAAAGGTACCTTTTATAACACAAGCTATATTTATTGGTGAGAAACACTGTCTTTAAACAAATCCTGAAGCGGTTTGTCCATATTGATTTGGATTATGACTACTGGTGCAATAATGACAGCTGGTAAATGTGGAGCTCATTTGAATGTGTCTGAGCTGCTGGATCACTTCACCTATAGAAATGCGTTTGTTTGGTTATATTTGAATCTGAATCTAAAGAACCAGTAAGCTAAAAGAAGCATTCTGCATCCAAACATCGGTGTGTTTTGGTAGTAATGAAAAGTAACATGTAGAAATATTGAGAAAATTAGGGTATTCAAATATTCACTCACTCAGTAATGAAACTATTAAACCAAAACAAAGCCAAGTATCAAATCACATTTGTCCCAGCGTGCTTTACAGATCAACAAACATGCAATACATTGTACTTTTATATTTTATTCCATTCTATTTCAATGTAAATACTGCTTTATCTTATTTTTTATTTTCCTATATTTATCTATTATTATTTTTTTAATGTTAAAATAGTTCGCTATCTGTGTTTTTTTATTTTGGTTTAACACCAAGTCAAATTCCTCGTACGTGTCAACCTACCTGGTGATAAACCTGTTTCTGATTCTGATTCAAACTGGAGTGAATGTACTGTGTTTCATCCCCCTAAGGTTGTCAGGGTTCTTACGGTCATTAAAAACCTGGAAAAGTCATGGAAATTCAAAATGCAAATTCCAGGCCCTGGAAAAGTTATGGAAACAATATTTTTCCCAAAGTTTTGGAAAAGTCATGGAAATGTAACTAAAGTTGCATCAAATATAATTTATATTTGATCTAATCGCCGAAATAGTAACACTATAATGATAATAAATACTGTATAGTAATGAAACGTGAAATGGCATTTAACTGACGAGGTATTTTGCTGGTGAGAGATTTTAGTTGCTTTAGCGTGTAGAAGCTAGTAAGCCTATTTGATTTGTTTCAGATAGGCACAACATGTTTCAGACCTTATTCTCCTGTTCCATGTTCAAATAAACCATTTTCAGTGGAACCGCTGAGAAAGAGTCATTTATTTGGTCATGGAAAATTAGGTAAAGGTCATGGAGAAGTCATTGAAAATCATTGGTGAAAAAGTGTATGAACCCTGGGTTGTATGAGATATCCTCCATTTTGTCTTGTTGTAAACGTATTTTTTTCTTCGTCCTCTCCAGGCCAGGATGACTGGAACGGGACCCAGCGAGCGCCCACAGGGAAGGCCCCCCCCCCCTCCAGAGGTGCCAAGACGCCTTACCGGGAGCACCCGTACCGACAGTACTGAAGCGGACGCGCCGACCTTAACGCGTCGCCATGACTACCGCCTGTCTCCCACGGCAGCTCTCGCTTTAAGCAGCCCGACAAAAGTAATTGTTCGTTTTGTCTTTGGTTTGGTCTTTCTCCCCGCACTGGACTTTATACGAGAGCGCACATTTGGGAACTGAAAATCGGAACTGGTTTTTTGAGATTTGACCTTCCTCCCCCCCTTCTCCCTATTTCGTCGCACAAACCCAACACTTTAACCCCCCCCCCCCCCACCCCCCCCCCCCCCCCCCACCCCCACCCTACCTTTCGCCACCGATCCCTCCAACAAACCAATCTTGCAGACGGTTAGAGAGGAGAGGTTGGCGTCCTCTTTTTGTTATTTTTTATTTACATTTTTACATTTATTTTGCTGTGTTTTTTTTCTTCCTCTGACCCTTTTTAACCCCCCCCCCCTTCTGGCTTTGTTTGCACTGTTGATATTTAATTTTCTTAACTGTTTGGGAGTAAGTAGTAATTTCTAGTGGAATAAATGGCTCATTATCAACTTGTAAAAGAAATACATTTTAATTGTTTTAAATACAAATAATCTGTTGAGGGTCAGTTGCAGATTCCCATTTAGGCTACATTTCAAAATTCTGTTAATATAGCCGAATAAAAGACCTTTTAAACTCTGAATTATGTAATATAGACGCAAAAAATAAATCCTAAATTAAGTGAAGGTTAAAGAATCGATGTTAATTCATTCTTGATGATGGTTTGTTTTTAAATAGTCCTAAAACGTTGTCCATTTAGACTTTAGGCAGCAATATTTGTCATTGTACGTAGAGTTTTGAAATATAGCCCTAATAGACACTGTTGAGATGGACTGTCCTCATATCCTCAATTTGTTAATACATGTTACAAATTAATTTTAAGACTCTGAAGACAAAATGTGTTAAATAAAAAACGGTTCAGGTCTTCATTTTGTGATCGGGTCCTCTATAAACTGCATGCAGAAAGAAGGATTGGGACACAAATCTCCACATGGGTCTTCTCTTTCTAAAGAGAAGGGATCCTGCAGCTCAATCCCAACTCTTGTACATATTTTAAAACATCCTAACTGTACTTATTCTGCCACTAGTATCTGTACCCTCTCCATAAAATGCATTATGCTACATGTGTAAGCTTGCCTAAATAGGTTACTAAATCTGTCCAAAAGATGTTTTGCAGCAGTTTGTCAATAAAGCTTAGTTTGTTTTTTATGAAACTTAACTTGCCTTATTTGTTTCCTGTCCTAGTAAAATTCTGAAATGGCCTTTTTTTAAACAACCTTCAGCCGTCAGATGTAGGTGTTTGCATTTGTTTCTCCTTCAAAAGCGCATTTTAAATCTAAATGAATGTATTGACGTCTGAAGACTTTAACCCTACTAAATGATGTCTTGATTGATTATCAAAAGAGCACAACTTATTCTTTCTCTCTCTTTCTATACTTTTTAAAAAGGACCCAGAGGTAAGACCTCTAAAATAACCTGGATAGCTTCCTAATGTGTATAGAGTTCTAAAGCATTGAATGCCTGGGTATGTATAAGACTTTTTCAATCCTCTTACCTGTGGTCGTAACCGTTAATGAGAATTGCTTTTATAGCATCTGAAAATTAACTGAATTCAAACCACCATTCAGGTCTAGGCTTCATGTCATGAAAGACGCTGGCGCGATGGCTACTTTAGTACAGAGTAATGGCAGTGCAATGGAGAGGATGGTTATAACCTAGAGAACTCCACTGTAAAGGTAACCTAACCCTAAATGTTTAATTTCGTAGTGTGTTTATCCATTGACATAAACTTGCTGGTAAATGCGTAGTTTCTTAAAATATCATTTCAGTCATGGCAACAAAAAAGACTCGCCTCACAAAAAGTAAGAAAACCGTAAATTCCAATATCATTACAGTAGTGGATTTTATGTACCAAAATAACTATTCTGTGTACTAACAAAATACATTAGGATAGTGTAAATGCAACTCTTGCTAAAATGAACAAAGCCAAATCTATGTCAATCTCTTCTGTACAGTTGAGCTGCTGTTACTTTTTTTATTTGCTGTGTAAAAGTTGCTTACTGTAATATTTAAAGGTTTCTGCCTGTATCTAAAAGAGAAAAAGCTTGAGTTGCATGAGCATATCTTCTCCTGTAGACATTGCATGATCTGTCTCTAGTTTCTCCCACTGTTTTTAGACAGGGTATTGATTTTGGGTTTGTCCTTCCTTCAGGCACAGCTATCGGTCACTGAGCGCCCGGAGACTGACAGTCTGCTGACGTGAGAACCAAAAGAGCCTCAGGTTGGTCCGCCGCCGCATTGTTTCCACTTTTAAAGAACCACACTCCTGCTTTTTGCACGCTTTAACACATACTCCTTTCCAGTTCCCGTACAGCGAGTCTTAAAGATTGATTTGTTCTTCCAGGCAGCGTTAGTGTCCGTTCAAGTTTGTACAATATGAAGCAACTCGCATGACGTGTAATCCATCACAGTGAACGAGTGGAAGCTTATTTTTGCAAAACTTAATTGCCTTTGTAGAAAGCAGAACTTGTTTTGGGTTCTCTCCTGGTTAAAACATTCATGGACTCTCAGTCAGGAGGTTTTTTGAATAGTTTCACATTTAAGGAACTACGCTATTAGTAAGCCTGGCTCTATCCGGAAGGCTCTTTTTCAGTATATAAGTATGTAGTGTCTCTACTTTAAAGAGTCCTCTTCTGCTGATGTTCAGGAGTATATCAGTATGTAGTGTCTCTACTTTAAAGAGTCCTCTCCTGCTGATGTCCAGGTGTATATCAGTATGTAGTGTCTCTACTTTAAAGAGTCCTCCCCTGCTGATGTCCAGGTGTATATCAGTATGTAGTGTCTCTACTTTAAAGAGTCCTCCCCTGCTGATGTTCAGGTGTATATCAGTATGTAGTGTCTCTACTTTAAAGAGTCCTCTCCTGCTGATGTCCAGGTGTATATCAGTATGTAGTGTCTCTACTTTAAAGAGTCCTCTCTGCTGATGTTCAGGTGTATATCAGGATGTAGTGTCTCTACTTTAAAGAGTCCTCTCCTGCTGATGTTCAGGTGTATATCAGTATGTAGTGTCTCTACTTTAAAGAGTCCTCTCCTGCTGATGTTCAGGTGTATATCAGTATGTAGTGTCTCTACTTTAAAGAGTCCTCTCTGCTGATGTTCAGGTGTATATCAGTATGTAGTGTCTCTACTTTAAAGAGTCCTCTCCTGCTGATGTTCAGGTGTATATCAGTATGTAGTGTCTCTACTTTAAAGAGTCCTCCCCTGCTGATGTTCAGGTGTATATCAGTATGTAGTGTCTCTACTTTAAAGAGTCCTCTCCTGCTGATGTTCAGGTGTATATCAGTATGTAGTGTCTCTACTTTAAAGAGTCCTCCCCTGCTGATGTTCAGTTGTATATCAGTATGAATTGTCTCTACTTTAAAGAGTCCTCTCCTGCTGATGTTCAGGTGTATATCAGTATGTAGTGTCTCTACTTTAAAGAGTCCTCCCCTGCTGATGTTCAGTTGTATATCAGTATGAAGTGTCTCTACTTTAAAGAGTCCTCTCCTGCTGATGTTCAGGTGTATATCAGTATGTAGTGTCTCTACTTTAAAGAGTCCTCCCCTGCTGATGTTCAGTTGTATATCAGTATGAAGTGTCTCTACTTTAAAGAGTCCTCTCCTGCTGATGTTCAGGTGTATATCAGTATGTAGTGTCTCTACTTTAAAGAGTCCTCTCCTGCTGATGTTCAGGTGTATATCAGTATGTCTCTACTTTAAAGAGTCCTCTCCTGCTGATGTTCAGGTGTATATCAGTATGTAGTGTCTCTACTTTAAAGAGTCCTCTCTGCTGATGTTCAGGTGTATATCAGGATGTAGTGTCTCTACTTTAAAGAGTCCTCTCCTGCTGATGTTCAGGTGTATATCAGTATGTAGTGTCTCTACTTTAAAGAGTCCTCTCCTGCTGATGTTCAGGTGTATATCAGTATGTAGTGTCTCTACTTTAAAGAGTCCTCCCCTGCTGATGTTCAGGTGTATATCAGTATGTAGTGTCTCTACTTTAAAGAGTCCTCTCCTGCTGATGTTCAGGTGTATATCAGTATGTAGTGTCTCTACTTTAAAGAGTCCTCTCCTGCTGATGTTCAGGTGTATATCAGTATGTAGTGTCTCTACTTTAAAGAGTCCTCCCCTGCTGATGTTCAGTTGTATATCAGTATGAATTGTCTCTACTTTAAAGAGTCCTCTCCTGCTGATGTTCAGGTGTATATCAGTATGTAGTGTCTCTACTTTAAAGAGTCCTCCCCTGCTGATGTTCAGTTGTATATCAGTATGAAGTGTCTCTACTTTAAAGAGTCCTCTCCTGCTGATGTTCAGGTGTATATCAGTATGTAGTGTCTCTACTTTAAAGAGTCCTCTCCTGCTGATGTTCAGGTGTATATCAGTATGTAGTGTCTCTACTTTAAAGAGTCCTCTCCTGCTGATGTTCAGGTGTATATCAGTATGTAGTGTCTCTACTTTAAAGAGTCCTCTCCTGCTGATGTTCAGGTGTATATCAGTATGTAGTGTCTCTACTTTAAAGAGTCCTCTCCTGCTGATGTTCAGGTGTATATCAGTATGTAGTGTCTCTACTTTAAAGAGTCCTCTCCTGCTGATGTTCAGGTGTATATCAGTATGTAGTGTCTCTACTTTAAAGAGTCCTCTCTGCTGATGTTCAGGTGTATATCAGGATGTAGTGTCTCTACTTTAAAGAGTCCTCTCCTGCTGATGTTCAGGTGTATATCAGTATGTAGTGTCTCTACTTTAAAGAGTCCTCTCCTGCTGATGTTCAGGTGTATATCAGTATGTAGTGTCTCTACTTTAAAGAGTCCTCCCCTGCTGATGTTCAGGTGTATATCAGTATGTAGTGTCTCTACTTTAAAGAGTCCTCTCCTGCTGATGTTCAGGTGTATATCAGTATGTAGTGTCTCTACTTTAAAGAGTCCTCTCCTGCTGATGTTCAGGTGTATATCAGTATGTAGTGTCTCTACTTTAAAGAGTCCTCCCCTGCTGATGTTCAGTTGTATATCAGTATGAATTGTCTCTACTTTAAAGAGTCCTCTCCTGCTGATGTTCAGTTGTATATCAGTATGAATTGTCTCTACTTTAAAGAGTCCTCTCCTGCTGATGTTCAGGTGTATATCAGTATGTAGTGTCTCTACTTTAAAGAGTCCTCCCCTGCTGATGTTCAGTTGTATATCAGTATGAAGTGTCTCTACTTTAAAGAGTCCTCTCCTGCTGATGTTCAGGTGTATATCAGTATGTAGTGTCTCTACTTTAAAGAGTCCTCTCCTGCTGATGTTCAGGTGTATATCAGTATGTAGTGTCTCTACTTTAAAGAGTCCTCTCCTGCTGATGTTCAGGTGTATATCAGTATGTAGTGTCTCTACTTTAAAGAGTCCTCTCCTGCTGATGTTCAGGTGTATATCAGTATGTAGTGTCTCTACTTTAAAGAGTCCTCTCCTGCTGATGTTCAGGTGTATATCAGTATGTAGTGTCTCTACTTTAAAGAGTCCTCTCCTGCTGATGTTCAGGTGTATATCAGTATGTAGTGTCTCTACTTTAAAGAGTCCTCTCCTGCTGATGTTCAGGTGTATATCAGTATGTAGTGTCTCTACTTTAAAGAGTCCTCTCCTGCTGATGTTCAGGTGTATATCAGTATGTAGTCTCTCTACTTTAAAGAGTCCTCTCCTGCTGATGTTCAGGTGTATATCAGTATGTAGTGTCTCTACTTTAAAGAGTCCTCTCCTCCTGATGTTCAGGTGTATATCAGTATGTAGTGTCTCTACTTTAAAGAGTCCTCTCCTGCTGATGTTCAGGTGTATATCAGTATGTAGTGTCTCTACTTTAAAGAGTCCTCCCCTGCTGATGTTCAGGTGTATATCAGTATGTAGTGTCTCTACTTTAAAGAGTCCTCTCTTGCTGATGTTCAGGTGTATATCAGTATGTAGTGTCTCTACTTTAAAGAGTCCTCTCCTGCTGATGTTCAGGTGTATATCAGTATGTAGTGTCTCTACTTTAAAGAGTCCTCTCCTGCTGATGTTCAGGTGTATATCAGTATGTAGTGTCTCTACTTTAAAGAGTCCTCTCCTGCTGATGTTCAGGTGTATATCAGTATGTCTCTACTTTAAAGAGTCCTCTCCTGCTGATGTTCAGGTGTATATCAGTATGTAGTGTCTCTACTTTAAAGAGTCCTCTCTGCTGATGTTCAGGTGTATATCAGTATGTAGTGTCTCTACTTTAAAGAGTCCTCTCTGCTGATGTTCAGGTGTATATCAGTATGTAGTGTCTCTACTTTAAAGAGTTCTCTCCTCCTGATGTTCAGGTGTATATCAGTATGTAGTGCCTCTACTTTAAAGAGTCCTCTCCTGCTGATGTTCAGGTGTATATCAGTATGTAGTGTCTCTACTTTAAAGAGTCCTCTCCTGCTGATGTTCAGGTGTATATCAGGATGTAGTGTCTCTACTTTAAAGAGTCCTCTCCTGCTGATGTTCAGGTGTATATCAGTATGTAGTGTCTCTACTTTAAAGAGTCCTCTCCTGCTGATGTTCAGGTGTATATCAGTATGTAGTGTCTCTACTTTAAAGAGTCCTCTCTGCTGATGTTCAGGTGTATATCAGTATGTAGTGTCTCTACTTTAAAGAGTCCTCTCCTGCTGATGTTCAGGTGTATATCAGTATGTAGTGTCTCTACTTTAAAGAGTCCTCTCCTGCTGATGTTCAGGTGTATATCAGTATGTAGTGTCTCTACTTTAAAGAGTCCTCTCCTGCTGATGTTCAGGTGTATATCAGTATGTAGTGTCTCTACTTTAAAGAGTCCTCTCCTGCTGATGTTCAGGTGTATATCAGTATGTAGTGTCTCTACTTTAAAGAGTCCTCTCCTGCTGATGTTCAGGTGTATATCAGTATGTAGTGTCTCTACTTTAAAGAGTCCTCTCCTGCTGATGTTCAGGTGTATATCAGTATGTAGTGTCTCTACTTTAAAGAGTCCTCTCCTGCTGATGTTCAGGTGTATATCAGTATGTAGTGTCTCTACTTTAAAGAGTCCTCTCCTGCTGATGTTCAGGTGTATATCAGTATGTAGTGTCTCTACTTTAAAGAGTCCTCTTCTGCTGATGTTCAGGTGTATATCAGTATGTAGTGTCTCTACTTTAAAGAGTCCTCTTCTGCTGATGTTCAGGTGTATATCAGTGTGTAGTGTCTCTACTTTAAAGAGTCCTCTCCTGCTGATGTTCAGGTGTATATCAGTATGTAGTGTCTCTACTTTAAAGAGTCCTCTCCTGCTGATGTTCAGGTGTATATCAGTATGTCTCTACTTTAAAGAGTCCTCTCCTGCTGATGTTCAGGTGTATATCAGTATGTAGTGTCTCTACTTTAAAGAGTCCTCTCCTGCTGATGTTCAGGTGTATATCAGTATGTCTCTACTTTAAAGAGTCCTCTCCTGCTGATGTTCAGGTGTATATCAGTATGTAGTGTCTTTACTTTAAAGAGTCCTCCCCTGCTGATGTTCAGGTGTATATCAGTATGTAGTGTCTCTACTTTAAAGAGTCCTCTCCTGCTGATGTTCAGGTGTATATCAGTATGTAGTGTCTCTACTTTAAAGAGTCCTCCCCTGCTGATGTTCAGGTGTATATCAGTATGTAGTGTCTCTACTTTAAAGAGTCCTCCCCTGCTGATGTTCAGTTGTATATCAGTATGAAGTGTCTCTACTTTAAAGAGTCCTCTCCCTCTGATGTTCAGGTGTATATCAGTATGTAGTGTCTCTACTTTAAAGAGTCCTCTCCTGCTGATGTTCAGGTGTATATCAGTATGTAGTGTCTCTACTTTAAAGAGTCCTCTCCTGCTGATGTTCAGGTGTATATCAGTATGTAGTGTCTCTACTTTAAAGAGTCCTCTCCTGCTGATGTTCAGGTGTATATCAGTATGTAGTGTCTCTACTTTAAAGAGTCCTCTCCTGCTGATGTTCAGGTGTATATCAGTATGTAGTGTCTCTACTTTAAAGAGTCCTCTCCTGCTGATGTTCAGGTGTATATCAGTATGTAGTGTCTCTACTTTAAAGAGTCCTCTCCTGCTGATGTTCAGGTATATATCAGTATGTAGTGTCTCTACTTTAAAGAGTCCTCTCCTGCTGATGTTCAGGTGTATATCAGTATGTAGTGTCTCTACTTTAAAGAGTCCTCTCCTGCTGATGTTCAGGTGTATATCAGTATGTAGTGTCTCTACTTTAAAGAGTCCTCTTCTGCTGATGTTCAGGTGTATATCAGTGTGTAGTGTCTCTACTTTAAAGAGTCCTCTCCTGCTGATGTTCAGGTGTATATCAGTATGTAGTGTCTCTACTTTAAAGAGTCCTCTCCTGCTGATGTTCAGGTGTATATCAGTATGTAGTGTCTCTACTTTAAAGAGTCCTCTCCTGCTGATGTTCAGGTGTATATCAGTATGTAGTGTCTCTACTGGGACATGTCTCCATTCTTTAATGTTCAAAAAGCTCTTTATTTTACCTCTTTTCACCCTCTGTCTGAAACCAGAGCCCAGTCTGCTCTGATTGGTTAGCTGGCCGGCTCTGTTGTGATTGGTCAACCGCTTAGAGATGTCCCGCCCCTTAGCCTATCATGTACAATGTGTTGGAACTTTAGCCAATAGGAGCGCGAGGAGGTCAATTGTTACTAAAAAATAGTAGATTTTATTTTAAATGTCTGGTAGAGCCCAGATATTAGTTGTCAAATTATGAGAGTTTGCTTTTTGTGAGTTGATGTAAAATGTTGGTTTAAATAGGCATCTCATATTCATCAAAGTTCCCTGAATTGTTGTTCATATAATTAATATGATATTGTCTCGTGATTCAACTTGTGATTTACATCCCTGCCTGGCAACTGGTCCAAATCACAAAATAGTCTTGTCACTATTCTCCCTGTTAAACTGTTTACACCTCACTTTCTGACCATTATGCTAGCTGTTCCCCATCGTTAAGCTAAGCTAAGCTAACGAGCTACTGGCTGTATTTTCATGTTTGCTATACACACATGGGAGTGCATATTTGGGTTCTCGAAAAATGCTTTTTCAGCTGAAATCACCACTAAAGAGGCTTTTTAGTCCCGTTTTGCAGCTGACAAAACCACCGCTGTGATGGATTAGCCCTCTCCTGCTGAAATGTGAAGTCGACACAATTTGTAGGTAATGGTCTAAAACCTTCAAAACCACTGGTATGGTTCTCTAACTTTTCCCATTTTCCATTGAAAGAAAGTTTGCAAGCGTTATGCAGAGGTTGGTTGATTCTGATGATTGCCCGGCTCCTGTAAGTCGCCTCTTGACAGTGAGTCGCTGTGAGGCCTTGCCAGCCTTCAGCGAGTCTGAGCGAGGGGGGGGGGGGGGGACGCGACGCCGGTGTCAGAGTGTTCTCAGGGAAAGTGACTAATGAGGATCCGTTGCTCAGGGCGCTCTGACAGACGGAAAACAGGAACGAGAGGACTCGGCTGGCGATTCCCGAAATGGAACCAGCAGCCGCAGAGAGGTGTCGGAGGGATTCTTCTGATGTCCTGTATGTGCCTTGAAGGCAGGAAGGAAAGTTAAATGAAGCCTCCAAAAGTAATGCTCGGTGGTCAGACTCTGAGAAACAGAACTGTCGTTGGCATTTCAGTCGAGGGCATCTGGATAACGAGCTTTTAAAGAACATTCTGAGATGCTTTTTGATGGAAAGGTCACTGACTTGTTTGATGAATGTTTTTCAGCTCGACTACTGCCAGTTTTCAGATATATCAGAAATAAATGCTTCTTGCTTTGGAAATCTTTTCACTTAAGTCCCTTGGTGAAGAATTTGACTATTTAGTAATGAAACTATGTAGAGATTCATGTCCGGACTTCATAGAAATCTTGATTTATAAAACAAATATGTCCGCTCTTTGGCTTCTCATTGGCTTTTTGTCCATAAGTGCTGCCAAATACTCAAAAACTAAGACCTGTGACCACATTAGCTGCTGATTGAATCATTAATGCACTTAATCCAAATTCAAAAGTCTTGCCAGTAATTATGTGTTACTTAACAAAATGCTTTGCTGCTCTCTCTCTCTCGAAGAGCTGTGCTACTTGGCAGGAAAATGACCTTTGAATTATTACAGCCACTGCTCAAAAATGGAAAAGAAAACGCTACCTCTTATCTGCCGTTAAATGACTTTAAAGTAGACAACGAGTTGTGACTTAAAGTGGACCTATCATGCTATATTATAATAATATAGTGTAGGGCCATACCTATATAAGGCATATTTATACTTTTTTTTTTTCAAAATACTTAACAGATCATGCATTTTAGCCATGCCTCATTTTGCTCAATTTGACATTTTTTAGCTCTGTTTTAGCTCTGGGCAGATTCTGTGAGAACAGCACCACCTACAGGCCTGGCATATGTACTACAGCGTCTCCAGCGCTTTCGAACGGCAATGGCCGTGGCTGTCTCCTCCTGATTGGTGGAGTTGGCCCAATAGCCGTAGCGCCACCGTCCTGACGTCAGGACAGTGTTCAAATCTGGATCAGTTTTTATCAGATCCGTTGCAGCCCCTTTTTTAGAGATTTGGGTATGGAGGAAAATAGAGAGGGTTGTGTTTTCTGACACTTGGTGAGTTCCCTGGAACACCGGGGACACATATTCATGTAGAAAAGACGTACACAAGTGCATTTTGCATGATAGGTCCCCTTTAAAGTTTAGAAATAAGACGAGTGTAAGGAAAAATTACTGTGTGTCCAGACAATTGCCCCTTTAGTTTTCTAAACATAAAATTGATGATTTCTAGAAATGAATTGATAGTAGTAGGTGTTGAACCTTGGACCATTATACATTAACATTTCGGCTAGTCTTTTTTAAAATACTGTACATGTAAAAAAATTGCAGCGTTAACAAAATGTCGTTTATTTAACTTGCTGTCATTTGGTTTGTAAGATTGATCTTCTGGCAATTATTTGGCGACATAATAACATACAGAACACACATGTTAACAGATATAAACTTTCATAAACATTGAACTGAAGTACTCAGACTCTTTACTTAACGAAATATATTAATACTGTGGCCTTGAAATACTCAATTACAATGAAAAGTCCTGAATTGAAATGATGAAATAGTAGGTAGCAAAGTACTCCGTTTTCAAATTGGCACTAAAGCTAGTAACTAAGAGTTTTTTTAAATTGAAGATGTGGAGTAGGAACTTTGCTTAAAGGTGGGGTAGGTAAGTTTGAGAAACCGGCTCGAGATACACTTGTTGTTATATTCCATGGAATGCTCTTAACATCCCGATAGCAATGAATATCTGAAGTGCTTTGACAACAAATACATAAATAAATATCATCTGTGGAAGCTGTAGTACTGTAAAAAGCACGACCAATCATCTGAGCCGGCCCGGCTAAAATAACTGGATGGCCTACCTGCCTGTCAGCCTTCCATCTGTGCACAAACTTATCTCGTGCCCTCATTGGTCATGTGCGCGTTCGTGTGTGTTGGAGGAGGGGCTCTGTGAGGAAGTGGCAGATCTTTTCCGGTTGTGTATTTTCAAATTCTAGCGCACTCTAGCTGGTTTCTCCAAAATTACGTACCCCACCTTTAAAGCAGCATATCACGTGTTTTATATATGTCAAAAGAAGCTACTAAATATGGGTGATAAATACATGTCGTAAAAAGTACAATATTTGCCACTGAAATATAGGAAAGTAGAATAAAATGCATATAATGGAAATACTAAGGAAAAATACATGCGTCTAATCTATCAGATACAGTCAGGCATATTTTGAAATTGAGACGGTAGGAGCTTTACTGAAAGAAGAAATATTGTGTGTTTGTCTCGAGTCTCACCCCGATGTACAACACTATCTGTTTTCTTTTTTTATTACTGCCGATTTGTATTCCATATTTTCTTCCATTCCACATCTATGTAAATTATATATTACTATTTTTTAAATTATTTTTAATATTTTTCTAGTTCTCTATCTGTGTTTTTTCTTTTTGTTTTTCTTTTATGTATTCAAATTCCTCGTACGTGTCAACCTACCTCGTAATAAACCTGTTTCTGATTCTGACGTCTCTCCTGTGATTTCTCTCCTCTGCAGGGAAGAAGTACGGAGCAGCTCAGCATTAAGGAGGTGGTCGGACGAGAGGAGTGACCCAAAGGGGGGGTTCTGGTGCCGAATGACCCACAGGATGAAGCTGATAAAGTGTCCGAGGAGGAGAGGTGGCTCAGACTCAGCTGGGAACCCAGAAAACCCAGAGACATTTCATGTGGACTATTTTCTACATTTTCTCTATGCTGAATTATGTTATATTCTGACAGACACACACTGACGCCAAGCTGCTTCTACAGACCACCCTCTCTTCCAACAGATGTAATTGTTCCAGTCTAATTCACCATAAAATGAGCACTCCTGTTATAGTACGCTGTGAAATTGTCTTTAATTTCTATTAACTCTGGGATTAGACGTGATGATATTTTCTGCAAGGCAAGCAAAATCCATGCAGAATCGTGTACATGTGCATTTCATCTATTTTAGAATTGTTTTACATTCTTGTTGCGTGTTATTTGGTACCAATGCCTTATTGCCGAGTTAAATTACACTCTGTGCAAAGATGCCCGGAGAGAGTGGATCACTATCTCGCTGAGTTCACCGCGAGCTCTCACACACACACTCTCACTCTCACACACACCACCACATCTTGGCATAGCACGGCCTGTCCAAGCCCTGAGGATATCAAATGCTAATGCAGCGGCCCATTTGCATGTACTCACATGTAGCCTCTCCGCAAATGTGCAACACTTTCAAAACCAACGCTGGCCTGCTCTCAGCGTCAGCATCTATTTATGATAATAGAGCGAGATGCGGAGAGCTGCATGTGAGAAAGGACGGAGGGTGAACACAGACATTACTAACCACCCTCCATCCATCCATCATGTTCTGTTGATTTGATTCCCTCTATGCCATTTTCTGCCATTATCACTGATGATATTATGGCTGCCTGTGGTGCAGAGTTACATTTAGAGGTCAAAACTATACTTTCCTGTATTAAAAACAAATTTATCTGCCCCGATTCGCCGGTCAGAGGCTCCATTTAGCTTATTGAAAAAGCTAGCCGCTCAGAGGATGCAACATTGGATATTAGGATAGAAACCATCATCTGGAATGAAACGTCAACAGGCCATATCCAAAACAGATCATTTTTCAGTCTTTATGTGCTATTATGTCTAAAATAATGATTTCAGTGTCTCCTATAATCTAATGAAAGATAAGTGATGGTGGTGGAAGCCATCTGCTTTGTTGGAATCGATGAACTGTCAAGAGCGGGAGGGTGGAAGAGAAAGTAAATGTTGCTGTGCCGTGATCAATAAAAGTAGAGTTGAAAATGAGCAAGCCCCATGAATCAGTCTGTGTTGTTTCCCTCTTGGCTGGAGCGGCTGTTTGTCCCCACCTCCATGCAGTCAGCTGGCATCTGGTGGGTGAAGAGATGGAGGTGAGAGACAGGAGGCCAGGCTTTCTGGTGCTAAAGGGGGGGGGACAGAGTGTGGAGGAGGATGTGTTAAAATGTGTGTGAGAGGTGGAAATACTGTGGGCAGATACGGTGGACAGCTGGATTGCAGATTCACACCATGAGAGGAACATCGCATGCTGATTCCTGTGACAATCAGCCTCCACAGACACATCAGCTGCTGCTCATCAGAGAGCCAATCATCTCGCTGACATCAAGTGGGCTCAGCTGAGTTCCTCTTGCACGAGAAGCTTTGAAGAGGCATAAGGACGGTTACTGTAATAAGCAGTCTGTTCTTTCTTATATTCACACTGTATAGATCAGGGGTGTCCAAACTACGGCCTCAGCAAATTCAAAAAGTATAAGGAAATATGGCCCACAAATGAAACTTCTGCTTGTCTTAAATTATACTCCTTAAATATACATGTTCAAATATATTACACAGTATTCATGTAAGCCGAATTTTCAAATAAATTCAGTCGATTAAAGTTGGAAACATTTTCTAACAAATCTAAGCTGATGAGAAAAAGATATAACCCCAATAACTTATTTCCTTAACAACCTTGAAATATACCCTTCCTATTTCCTCTTATTATAATCAATCTGAAGCTTCTGTTTTAAGGAATGAGCTGCTAACTAAACAACTGAAGCCCTATGGAGAGCTGTGGTGAGGCTGTTTTTTTCTTAAAGCATTTTCAAGTATCAAGAATAATTCATTGAATTGATTTTTCCAACTTATAACTTCACTGATGAGGCAGTATAACTCCCCTCTAGTCAGCGGCCCAGCCCTTCGTATGTGTTTCTGTATGTGGCCCTCGGTGATAAAGCTTTGGACACCCCTGGTATAGATCCTTTATTTAAAGCCCATAAGAAGGGTCAATGGAGCACAATGGGGATAACATGTTTTCAGAAGTTCATAAGCATCAAGGTGCTAGCGTACCATGCTGTGAATGGATCTGGCCCTTCCTACATCCAGGACATGGTTAAACCGTACACCCCAGCACGTGCACTCCGCTCTGCATCAGCCAAACGGCTCGCTGCACCCGCACTGCGAGGGGGACCCAAGTTCCCATCAGCAGAAACACGTGGGTTTGTTATCCTGGCTCCAACATGGTGGAATGAGCTCATTGACATCAGGACAGCAGAAAGCTTACACATCTTCTTCAGACTGAAGACTCATCTCTTTCGACTCCACTTCGAGCAATAAAATGACTAACAAAGCACTTACTAACAAAGGACTGGCTTATCTAAAGCCTGTTGAGTAGCACTTGAAATGTTTTGGCTCTATGAAACATAATGTACTTATATGAGTCTGTTTTCTTCAAGTTTGTATCTTCTTGGTCGAATGCACTTATTGTAAGTCGCTTTGGATAAAAGCGTCAGCTAAATGCAATGTAATGTAATGTAATGGATTTGGCCGACATCTATATGTCAGTAGCCAGTAAGTATGACAACAAGTTACCAGTGTACCATTAAGAGAGCATATTGAGATGTTGTTGGTGCTTACCATGATCCCTGGAGCTGAGTTTTTATTCAAAGTTTGCACAAACCAGTTTTACAAAGTGCTAATGTTTATACATACACTTCTGCCTGGAGAGAAATAGGGCAGAGGTTCTCCCTCATGAATGCTTTCATCAGCACAAGTCTTTTAACAAGGATGTGGAATGATATATGTATTCAAAGAAGGTATGTTTTTTGGGTTAACAGGCAAAATCTCACATTGATAACACTGGGCAGGTGATCTTTGGTCACAGGTGTAAGGGGGCGTGGCCTGGGGAACAAGGAAGAGAATTGTTTGTGGTGTGGATGGAGGGAATGTTTTTGGAGGGGAAATGGAGGAGTAATAAAATAGCTTTTAGCCTTCAGTGGAGAAAACACATTTAACTAATTGTTGTCCCTCATCCAAAGAAGAAAAATGTGATTTGAGGATTTTAAATACTGAGCAGAGGACTGGAAGTCAAGCCAAGATTCCCAATAACTACATCTGGTAAGCTTGATTCTTTCTGTGTTTTATTGAAAAGCATTGTTTTGGGGTTATATATTATTCCCTTTGGAAAGGAGGATTTACAGATTTTTGTTTTGAGGATGTTTGGATTGGATAATGCGAACTGTTTTGAATTGGACACACTTTTGAATGGTTATTTCCATGTGACCTGGGGTTCTTCCTTGGGAGGCGTGTGGTGCAGTGGATTGAGCGTTGGTGTTCGGATCAGGGGAGCACAGGTTCAAACCCCACTGCAGTCAGCATGTCGTTGTGTCCCTGAGACACTTCACCCCAAATTGCTCCTGTGGGGATTGGCCACAGTATTGAGTATGTAGTGACATGTAATGTTCTTAATATGTTCTGTTGAAGCATACCATTAAGATTACTTTATTGTTCTTAGAAGGGCTTTAAAGACACCTCTAGTATTTGAAATCCTTTTTAAAACCAGGTCTTAGCATTGCAGTTGTTCTTAGATACATTTTTTAACAGCTTGTGCCACTTTAGGTTTCTGCAACCACAGCACTCATACATGCTCATATTAAATGCTCTCTATCTAAGTTTTATTTAGGTCCTTTCAAGGCTTTATTAAGTAGAACACCAACTTTCCAAACTGAATGTTGATGTTTGCAAAGGGATTGTGTCTCTTTAGTGGTGTGCACAGGCCCGGTCTCATCATGGATGCTCAGAGGGGACCAAGAGTACAAGAATTAGGCCAGCTATAAAAAGTGGATGAATCTCACTTTTGAAATGGTTGCCATGAAAGACTTACTAGATGCTGCAGTGCAAAGTGGGATAGTGTGAAGCATCCTGTGTGTTTGTGCCTGCAAGACAGAGACTGGAAGCACATATCGCTTTGTTTATTAATGAAGGGGAACAGTGAGTGCTTCTGTGTGTGTATCGGTTTCTGCCGAGACGGAGATGGAAAGCGAGAGAGAATGAGAAGTGCCTTTCCATCTGTGCATGGGAGGATATTGCTAGAAGATGTCATACCTGTCATGTTTCCTAAATAACATTTATCAAATTGCGAGATCAAATTTAAAGAGCAACACGCCTCATTTTAAGTGCAGCTTGCAATCTGAAAGCTCTCGACAGGCAGACCTTTCTCTAATCCCATTGATATTCAAAACCTGGCGTCTGTGCGTGTTCGCTCACACCGCTGTGTTCACATGTTGAATTCTTACGATCCCTTGTGGCAAGAAGAGATCAATAAGACTCGAGCTTTACTGAAGTCAGCCTTTTCTTTAATGTAGACTGCTCAGGTACAGACTGGGAGAAACAATGAATGCTGCTCCAACTTGGCCAACTTCCTTCAAACATCATTAAACTTCTCCTCGTCTCAGAGGCAGAGTTCAGTTGAAAGAAGGACTATGGACCTGTGAATCAAAACAGTATTCTGAACACACTCCTGTTTTGATATTTCAGGCTTGTCGGAGGTTTACTTGGACCTCCTTCAGCCAATTTAGGGGATTTACAAAGAGACAGGAGAAGTAACTGAAGCTGGGCCCAGGCAGGAAATGTTAGTGTCTCATAAAAGATGAAAGCTACTAGCTTTGGCAACATCTATCAGCTTTGGTGACACACTGAAGTGGCAGTATATTTATTTCCTCGCCAAATATTATTGAAGGTCAACAACGCCAGTTGAGCGTCTTTTATCAAAGCTTTCTTTTGAAATGAAAGCTGAATGGGTGAAACTGGAATATTACTCAGCTGGAGCTGGAAATGGAGCCAAGTACAGTCGCCATAAATGTGTGTTCGCTCTTCCATCACATCGTAATCATTTTGAAAGGCTTTAAAGTGGACCTATCATGCTATATTATAATAATATAGTGTAGGACCATACCTATATAAGGCATATTTATACTTTTTTTTTTCAAAATACCAAACAGATCATGCATTTTAGCCATGCCTCATTTTGCTCAAATTGCACTTTTTTAGCTGTTTTTGCAAGGGCAGATTCAGTGAGAACAGCACCACCTACAGGCCTGGCATATGTACTACAGCGTCTCCAGCGCTTTCGAACGGCAATGGCCGTGGCTGTCTCCTCCTGATTGGTGGAGTTGGCCCAATAGCCGTAGCGCCACCGTCCTGACGTCAGGACAGTGTTCAAATCTGGATCAGTTTTTATCAGATCCGTTGCAGCCCCTTTTTTAGAGATTTGGGTATGGAGGAAAATAGAGAGGGTTGTGTTTTCTGACACTTGGTGAGTTCCCTGGAACACCGGGGACACATATTCATGTAGAAAAGACGTACACAAGTGCATTTTGCATGATAGGTCCCCTTTAAGTGAAGTTTAAAGCATTGTCTGACTGACCAATCAGATCTCTAGAGACTGCTTTAACTACTCTATATATTCAGATTGCAAACATTGCGGTGGTTCAACACAAGGTTACACAGGATTTAAGGTTTTATTAGCCTTTAATCGGCTAGTTTGACTTACTTTCATGGTCAAAATTCAATTTCATGGTTCCTTGACTTTAGTTACCTAAGAACTTGGTGACATAGTTGTGAATGGACTGTACTTATATGGAGCTTTATCAGATATCTTCGACCCCTCAAAGCGCTTTACATAATATGAGTCATTCCCCCATTCACACCTCATTCATACAGAGCAGCACCACTTGCTCTAGGGAAGCTAACACTCACACACACCGTTAGCCATCGGGAGCAACTCAGGGTTCAGTATGTTGTCCACAGACACATCAACATGTTGACTGCTCAGGCTGTTGAAAGGCGATTGCAGCCCTTTTGTCTTTTGGTTTATTTTTTCTAACTGTCGTTTAGTGATGCCATTAGTTCTTCAAGTGTTGATTTGCTGGGAATTAATTGTGTAAGTTCATTCAGGAGAGTCCAGGTGGAGTTGTATAGTCTTTTTTGTCTAAAGTAATCACATTTCGAGT